GTCAAAACTTACTGTAACTCGAAATGTCAATCTCTTCGGGCAATTCGGGAATATTAACATCGAAGCGGTCCTGAACTTCATTCAGAATCTTGGCGTCCGTCTCGTCGCTCACGAAAGTGATGGCCAAACCTTTGGTTCCGAAACGTCCGGCGCGGGCCACGCGATGCAAATACGTGTCGCTGTCCTCTGGCATGTCGTAGTTGAAGACAATGTTGACTCTTTCGATATCCATTCCTCTGCCAAACAGATTAGTGGCCACAAGAATGCGTTTATGAAAGTCCTTGAATTGTTGATAACGCGAGAGCCTATCCATCAAATAATGATTAAACAATTAATCAAATGAAAGCAGTAAAACGTGTCTAAACAGTGTATACCTGTCCTCCTGTGTCATAGCTCTGTGTATAGCAATTGCGGGAAAGTTCTGTTCGACCAAAAGCTGAGCCAAAGCCACACATCTTTGAACGCTTTTCACGAATATTACCACCTTTTATGAGACAACAAACAATACATTTATACCACAAACAAATTAAACGCTCAAAATATGGTTTAATTACTTGATTGAATTCGAGGACATCCAAGAGCTCAAAGAGTTTGCGATTCTTCTCAGTGTCCTTTAGTTTGACGTAATATTGTTGCAGACCATGGAGTGTGAGTTTGGTCTCGTCGTCGACATACACTTCCATCGGCTGTTTCGACAAATGCGAGGAGAAAGACATGTTTTGTGTCAATAGAAATGGTTTAAAGTATTCAATGGATAAAAATTAAGCTCTTGTTTGTTACAGTACGTGTCCATCGTTTGTCTCAACCCTCATAACTGGCCCTCTAATGGACGGCCCATTTGAACGGCAATTGTGAGGCAACAGATAAGACACACGAGAAGACCATCACTCATATCATTGGTTGGGAAATAGTAATCGATTGGTAAAGCGTTTTCTTGCGATTCATAGCTTAAGGTTTTTGAGTCGTCTATTTCGGTGACCCTTTCTCTCTATATTATGGTATTTATAATTATCTTTCACTACCAGTGGTCGCCATATATTGGGTGCACAGGTATGTCATGAGTGTACCCTACTGTATTCGTAAATAATATGCTAATAGCGTCTCTACAGATGATAAGAAGCTAGTGAAGAGAACGTATAGTAATTACTATAATTGTAAATCCAACTTAACGATAAGCAAATAGTCTCTCAGTGCTCTCAGAGTTGGCTTTAAAAAACTTAGGTTTTAAATATTTAGTGTAAAACTATTTGATTGGCGGAAATGGAAAGGTATTCAACCCAAGGATGTCTTCTTCAACAGAAATGATGTCTTCTTATAACAATTTATGATGTCTTCTCTCAATACTAACTCAGAAACTGATTCAAAGGCTAACAAGATTTCAACCACTCATTCATCTGAAGAGCAAACCGACAGTCAAACCGAGTTTTAAATTCTCATCATTTCAACACTCATTCAAGTGATAGACATTAACATTAAGTGATCGGCGCTTCGATCGTACAACTGATGGCCAGACAGGCGGCAGACAGGAGGAGGAAGTAGTGGCGAATCAATGCTTACGTCTTGCATAAACTTCTTGCAAACGGGTCTCACTAATCTGTTTGGCAGAGGAATGGATATCGAAAGAGTCAACATTGTCTTCAACTACGACATGCCAGAGGACAGCGACACGTATTTGCATCGCGTGGCCCGCGCCGGACGTTTCGGAACCAAAGGTCTGGCCATCACTTTCGTGAGCGACGAGACGGACGCCAAGATTCTGAATGAAGTTCAGGACCGCTTCGATGTTAATATTCCCGAATTGCCCGAAGAGATTGACATTTCGAGTTACAGTAAGTTTTGACGTTTTATTAGTTTTGTATCTATTTTTGAAACTAATTTATTTGTGTAATACTTTTTGCAGTCGAAGGCCGTTAAATGGGAATTGAAAATTCACTTCACAGACAATTCAAACACCAATTTCAGGCTTAATTATTCTTTTAATTGAATCATAATTTAGAAATAGTATTCATTTTTTGTTGTTTATTCCCATTCGAGAACTAACTATATGTTTAGCACTTTTTCACATTTATTTTGTATTTTTTGTGTTTTCTTCAGTAATTATGAAAATAAACAAATTAACGTAAAGTGTTATAAAAGTAAACAACTGGTTTATTTAATTAAAACATTAATAATTTTGCCAATCATTAAGTTTGTTTTTAGATGATTGAAAAAATATATTTGTGTTTGAAATATATTCTAAGAATTGCATTGAAATAGTGATGAATAGCTGATTGCTATGTCTTGAGGCTATTTGCGACAGCAATACGTTTTTATCACCATTTGATCAGTGAATAAATTAATGGTTGGATTTACGTCCAAAAACGCTATCGTTTTCAACAGTATATGTTATGTTGAGAAGCGCTGTGTTTATGGAGAATACCTGTCCGTATAGTGACGGCCCTGACATTGAGGCACAGGTAACAGTCTTTCAAGGATACCTTCACAGCATATCAACCAATCGGATGCCAAAGAATGCGAATCGGATTTGCAATAAATGCATCGTAACTGCGATTCTTTGCGCACATAATAGTGGATGAGATAACAGACCAAAAATTAATAAATCAAAAGTATCCAAAACTTTCGCAAATACTCTGTATTTTAGTGAGAATTTTTGTTGGGCTATAAAATCTCGTGTTGACCACAAATAGTGAAGAGTAGACAATGACCTCATACCTGGACAAAGGCGAGCGGCCAGACGGCGGCCGATTCGTGCACTTCGATCACATCACATTTTGGGTGGGAAACGCCAAACAGGCGGCCCTTTACTATTGCGTTCACCTGGGCTTCACTCCGTACGCCTATCGGGGCCTCGAGACCGGTTCCCGAGAAGTGGTCGCGCATGTGGTCAAACAGAACGACGTGTTGTTTGAGTTCCAGTCGGCCCTCAATCCGGGCAACAGTGAAATGGGCGCCCATTTGGTCAAACACGGCGATGGCGTCAAAGATATAGCATTTTCTGTGGAAAACATTGACTTTATTGTGTCGAAAGCCAAGGAAAAGGGAGCGCTTGTGGTCCGCGATATACACCAAGAATCGGATTCGTTTGGAACCGTTAAGTTGGCCACAGTTCAGACATTTGGCGACACAACCCATACATTTGTTGAACGAACCAATTATAAAGGCCTATATCTTCCCAATTATAAGACAACTCCATTAGATGTAAGAAAACTGTATTTCATATTCAATTATTAAGATATTCTTGAAATCAATACTACTTTTAAAAATCTAAATTACGGTAAATTTTAAATCATAAAAAGTTTATATAGAATCTTTAATTTATACAAATGTAAATTTACTGTAAATGAAAGTAAAGTACAGATAATTTCCCACAACATTCTACTTGATGTAAATGATTGCAACGTTTTCACGAATTTCAGTACAAAATTTACACAAATTTTAGTTTCAAAGAAAATGTATTTTGTGTTTTGAAGACTGGATTGTTGGCAACTCTTCCGCGCGTTGGCCTCCGATTCACCGATCATTGTGTCGGTAATCAGCCGAACGATGCCATGGAATCAGTCACACAATGGTATGAGAAGAGTCTGTTGTTTCACAGATTCTGGTCCGTCGACGACAAGCAGGTCCACACCGAGTACTCGGCTTTGCGCTCAATAGTAGTGACCAATTGGGATGAGACCATCAAAATGCCGATCAACGAACCCGCGCCCGGAAAACGCAAATCACAGATTCAGGAGTATATCGACTATTATGGCGGAGCAGGCATTCAACACATCGCTCTCAACACCGAGAATATCATTGAAGGTATCCATCGTTACAAACATAACTCTATTCGACTCTATTATAAAGTTTTAGTTCAAAAGTTTTAAACCACTTCTTATATGAACACAAATATAGCGCTCAAAGCGTTGAGAGCCCGAGGAATGGAGTTCATGAAGACTCCGGACTCGTATTACAAGCAATTGAAAGAAAAGCTGAAGACATCGAAAGTGAAGATCGTTGAGGACATGGATGTGTTGCAGGAGTTGAACATTTTGATCGATTACGACGATAACGGCTATCTGTTGCAGATCTTCACGCGCCCGATGCAGGACAGGCCCACTCTCTTCATTGAAGTGATTCAACGCCGCAATCACTCGGGCTTTGGAGCCGGAAATTTCAAGGCTCTCTTCCAGGCCATTGAAGCCGAACAGGAGATCAGAGGAAACCTTTGAATCCTTCAACCCTTATAAGCCTTAGATTTACTCAACTATTTCTTTACGCCAACAGAATATACAATAACTATATTTGTTATAATTTTGATGTCTATTATGTACTAATTGTGGGTTTTATTTGTTTAATTGTATAAAAGGGTTATTAATAAAGTTTATTTCAATTTATGTATTAATCGTTGACCAAAATTATGTGCTAAATATTGCTCAATGACTGAAAATGTAATTTATTCTAACTATGACTTTACAGCACCGACGGACTCATGATATCGAGGTTTTATTGTATTATAGTAATGTTATGACATATTCTGACAGAATTTTATTAAACCATTCAATGAGTGAGAGTTAAACAACTTATAGAACTCGTATCGCCATCTGTTGGAAAAACACAATTGAAAGCAATAATATTAATCATATAAACTTTGTTTATCAAAGAGATGGCGACACGGGTTCTAAAATCAACTCTTATTTTGCAGTCGACTCATAGAATGGACTAAATGTGAACTTTGATTGGTTTTCTTGATTTACATCTTGGTTATAAAAAGATGGCAATAAATGTCTAATATTAGCAAACGGACCTTTAGATGCCTAACTTGCATTGAAAATACATTACTGGCAATGTATAAGCATTAGTGTTGTCACTACGGTTGAAAAAATTCCCGGAATATAATAAATATTCCCAATTGGGAATATTCCCAGTGGGAATATTCCCGGAACGTTCCCATCCAAAAAGCTCACTCACTAGATGGCGCCAGTAGTAAAGTGTGTCGACCCCCACATTTTACCCCCATTTTGCCCCCAATTGGGGGTGATTGGGAATGTTCCCAAAGGGAATAAATATATATTCCCAATTTTCCCAGGGAATATTCCTAGGAACATTCCTTTGGGAACAATTCCCAGTAGGAATTTTCAACCCTAGTTGTCACACACTCTTAACAGACCAATGCATTGTATACTATAGCGTATGTTAAATGTGTGTGATATGCGTTTGGGAGATCGGTACTGTCGGCCTTCTTAGCTAATGTTAAATCCCATTGAAAACAAAACTTAATTGTCATTGACTTGCGCCTGCGCTCTAAACATGGGTATGATTTTCTTCTTTTGCTAATAACTCGCAAACCATTTGTAACTATAGTATAATAAAGCAAGACTTGCGTAACGATTATTGCGTTAATATAAGCGCTTAAACACACATTCATTTCCCATCCGTTAATAGAATTTGCATTTTATTTAATATAATATTTATTTCCAATTAATAATCAAATTTATTCATCAAAACTTTACATATAATTTCATATGAATTGATAACAAAATAAAATAGAAAAATAACTTAATTATAAACTATTATTACATTAAATGCTAAACTAATTAATAATATAATATATTTATAAGTATATATACAATGAGTGAATCTAATCGTTGTGTTCGTGTTGTGCTTCGGCTTCTCTCCAATTGTTTCTAACGGTTTCTATAGTAGTCTTAAAGACATTGGATTTGGCGAAGAGATAGAAGAAACAAACCAAAGCAAAGACCCACGAAAATAGCAGCAAATAATCAAACTTAGGCTCCGGTGTACTCGAAAGCGGGCCCAAGAGGTCAGAGTCGGTCAGGTTTGTGGAGCCCACGGGTGACACACCTGTCATTTGGGTGATGTATGACACGAACCCATCGATAGTAGGCTCGGAATCGTTCACTTTTCCCACTACTTTTCCGTTATGGAAGAACAATACGCTGGGAATGCCTACCAATCCGTACCTCATATTAACGCTGAAACATACAAATGAAATACAATTCAATTGAATGGTGTATTGTTTTGTGTCAAATGCAATACCTGTTCATTCCGTAGGCATCGATGGCCAGGACGTGAAACTGTGGGTAAACTCTGGCCAATGCGTTGAAATGTTTAGCAAATTTGGCGCTAAACGGACACCACTTATAGTAGAAGATAACGAGCGCACAGTCGGCGCCCATAGACTGTGTTATGTTTGGTTTACTCTCCAGATATTGACTCAGTTTGGATGAGTTCACTAAAAGCACTTCAGATATCGTCTAAAAAGATAATATTAAACAAAAAAACAAAACAATTAAAAATCAATTAACAATTTATAGGAATTTTTGTAAAGTTTAAAAAATTATAATATAAATACGCGACAGACTTGTAGATGGCATTCAAGTCTATACTTCAACAATATTGGCATTGCTATGGTTTCCATAAGAAACAACACTTAACAACAGTACGACAAATAAGGGGCGGTTGG